TGTGGCGGTGAGCGGCGCCCATTGGCAGACCAGGACGCCGCACCCGCCGAATCGCCGCGCCCTACCGCCATCGATTGACCAGCGCCCGCCTTCCCCGCCGCCAAGCCGCCGCGCCCCCGCTCGCCTGGCGCGCCGCTCCGCTACTGTATCCGCTCAACTGAGAATCTTGCCGTCTCCCCGCCACCCGATGTGATCACCTGGCCCCCGCAGAGTCCTTCCTGGCATGACAGACATTCTGATTTCTGGCATCTTGGCAGTCATGTGCCTCGCCCTCTTCGCCTGGATGCTCGGCTACGGAAAGTGTGACCGCCTGACCACGCCATACGTGGCCCCGCCCTCCCCCGTCGCCGCCACGCCCGACGCTTCGGAGCTCGGCGCCGGCCTCGGCGCCGCGCGCGGGCAGCGGGGTGGCCTTAGCGCGGGCGCGGGCGCCGGGGGCCTCAGCTTGGGTGGGCCCAGCACTAATGCTCTTGGCGCAAACGGCCTTGGAGCCAACGGGCTCGGAGCCAATGGCCTAGGCGCGAACGGGCTCGGCGCGGGCTCGGGCGCGGGCGGCCTCACCACCGCGGGCGGCGCCGGCGCGGCGGGCCTCAGCCTCGCGCAGCGTGCCGCGATGGGCGGCCTGTCTGGCGCGACGAATGACCCCTTGGGACTGACCACCGCCGGCCCCGCCAGCGGTCTGCGCCTTGGCGGCCAGGGGGGCGTGGCCGCGGGCGGGGGCGGCCTCGGCGCCGGCGGCCTGGGGTCGAACGGTGTCGACCCTGCCTCTGCGCTGGGTGGCGCCGGCGGCGCCGCGGCGGGCCTCGCGCCCGCTGGCGCAGCGGCCCCGGCACCGCAGCCGGTCAGCGGCATGTCTGACGCGAGCGGCATCGCCAACCCGTTTGCAGCCACGCCCGCTGCCCCCACTGCCGCCGCGCTTCAGCTGCTCGGCCGCCGCATGATGCAGCTGGGGGACCTCTCGGCCGCGAACGCCCCCATCGGCGGCGCGGGCACGGCCGGCGGCCTCGGCGGCTCATCGGGCGGGCCTGGCGTCTCATTCGGCGGCCTGGGCGGCGTGGGCCGCCTCGGCGGCGCGGCGGTGGACCTCAGCGGCGCCGGCGGCGGCGCTGCGCTCACGCCGCTCGCCGCAGCGCCGCCGCCGGCCGCGCCGGGGCCGATCGCCCTCAAGGGCGGGAAGCAGGGCGTCTGCGGCGCGTTCAACTTTGTGGCCGCCACGGCGTTCATCAACGCAGTGCTGTTCGCGATCAGCGCGTCGCTGGCTGGGTACGATCTCGTGCACAACCGCGGCATCGTCGGCGCAGACGGAGGTGCGTGCGGCCGACTGAGCACGTCCGCCGCCACCCTCATGAGCCAAGAGCGCGCTGCGTCGCGTCCTGCTCCTGCACCCTTGTCCTCGTCCCAACAACTGGTATAATCGCCGCCTCCCTGCCTTCCTCATCTCATAATTCGTGCCCCACAGAGATCCGCCTGCCGGCGTCCTCCGCCCCCAAGCGCGCCGACTCCCCGGCGCCGTCCGTCGTCGGCGGCGGCGACGTGCTTGGCGCCAAGGCGGTGGCCCCGAGCAGCCTCTCGGCGGGCAGCAGGACGAGCTCTTCCTCGGGATCACCGATTAAGGCCCACCACGAAGATAAGGAGGCCGCGCGCGCGTCCTCGGCCGCCGACGCGCCGGAAGGGGGCGCCCCGCCGGCGGTCACGACCCCCGCCGCCTCTGCGGCCGCTGAGCCGGCGCCTGGCGCGACAAGCTGAGCAGCGGCGGCGACGCATCATACCGAAGCATCATACCGAAAGCGTTGCAGCACCCACACCCGCATTTGCGCTGCATATCATATTATACCAACCGCTGGACATGCGCCCTGTGGCGCAGCCTCACAAAGCAGCCAAGCCGATGCCGCTCCCGCTCAATGCGCCCGCCGCCCTCATCCTCCGCCCGGCGTGGCAACAAGCGGCTCGCGAATGCGTGCCAGTCGCAGTCGCGCCGCCTGTGCGGCGCGTGCGCATGCAGCCAACGCGCGAAAAGCAGCCGTGCACTACAACCTAGCCGCATCGATGATTGGCCGCCTGCAAACAAGCAGGTTGGCCTGACCTGCACCTTGGCCTGCTGAAGATTGGGACGACGACAGCTCGCGCTTTGCATCACAACCCCTGCTGCATCCCCCTTGCTTCCGAAAGAACGACAAGCGCCCCGCGCGCCTGCGCGCTCGGCCGGCGCGGCTCCCGGCGGGCAGCCAGGGGCGCGCACGCCCTGCGCGGCGCGAGCGGCCGGCCGGCCGCCGCCACCCACAACTGCGCGAGCCCCAGAAACGGGTAGGCGCAGGCAGCGGGTGCCATTCCTGACCAGCCTCCGCTGCATACGCATGTGCCACAGCACGCGCTGCAGCCTATTGAGGCCGAGGCCACGGCCTCTGCTCACCAACGGCCAATTTGAATCGATTTGATCCGGAATCCATCATGCTGTTGGGCATGCAGCTTGCGTGTTTTTTGGCAGATGACTGCTCATGCTTTTGGTATCCTGCAGAGCCATGCATGCATGTCTGCCTGCTCCCTGTGCTGTGCTGCGGAGCCTCGGCCGCTTTGTTACTGTGAATGCATGTCTCCAGCACAGGTCAATTACCCGATGTTTTGAATGCAGCGGTTTTTGAAGCCGCAGGTCGGCGCGGTGTGTAAAGGTTCTTCCAAATGCACAGCCATGTCTGGAGGATTTCATACTATGACTTCAACAGCAGGAGCGCAGGGCAGCTGCAAGATCAAATGCCGGTCAAACGCCAGTCAAAAGAAGGTGAGTCATGTGTCGTCGTTAGCAGTGCAGCCCAACGAGCCGGGCGCTGGCGTCCCACACTGCTGCCGCCAGAGCTTGGTCCAACGCCAGCGCCTGGTGGTGTCAAGGAACAACGAGGAGGGGGGTGAGACCATTGGGTTGAAGGGAGAACCAACCCGCAGGCAACCGGCATGATTGGGCACTGCAGCTTCGCATATCGCGCATGGCAAAGACACGGTTTGGCGGCAGCACAGCAAGGCGTCGCCACCGCCCTGCGCCCGGGAGCAATCGTGAGCAGGAGCACGAGTTTGGAGGGCCCAAAAGCGGCACGCGGCAGCAGAAGGGGTGGAGGATGCGCTCATTGGATCACTGAAGGGGGGCCCGCACCGAGGGCTTCAACGGCCGGCAGTCGTGGAGGAACAGATCCGCCGTTGACCCCTCCACTTCCGCCGCCGTCGCCGCCCACACCGCAGTTTCCGCACCCTTGGCCGGCGTGCGCGCGACCAGGCGCAGGGGGCGCGCCGCGAGGCTGAGGGGCCAGGGCAGGCGCTCGAATATGGTGGTGCCCACGAACCCGGGGGACACGGAGGCAGCGACCAGCCGGCCGCCCCCTGCGGCGCCGGGGCCGAAGCGCCGCTGGAGCTCTGACGTGAATAGCTGCGGGCGCGTGGGGGCAGCCGTGTCGTTGAAGCGCTGATGTGAGCAGATACTCTGATTGCGGGAACGTCACAGGTGACGTCATGAACACTGCACGACGCCTGGGCGCCAGGCCGAACGATCGCGTGCTGCAGCCCAGTGTCGCGCAAGGGGCCTTCCACCGGCGCAGCGCAGGGCCGCTCCTCCTCCCGAGCAAAGCCATGACCCTGGAAACCGGTGTCGAGCGGTGGCCACTCATCCGCCCGCCCCCCTTCCCTTTGCCCCACCCACCACATTGCAGAGCTTCGACCGGCAGTACTGAGG